GAATGTACGTATGTATGTAAGTATGTGTGTGAGCAGGAGTGTGTATGAGTGTATGTGCGTGCGTCACGTGCGTGTGTGGTGTGTGTGTGCGTACGTGCGTGCGTGCGTGCGTGCGTGCGTGCATACGTGTATGTGGGCGTGCATGTCCAATTTATGTTAAACATCCAATGTGCTGCACCAATGTATGTAATTGCCGAACCATATGTTAAAATATGTGGATGTATGGGCCAAAGGCCTTTCAAATCAATAAATCATTTTGAATCTTTTGAATCTCTCTCTGTCTGTCTCTCTCTCTCTCTGTCTCTCTCGCTTATTTTTTCTCTGCCTGGCTGTCTATCTCTGACTCTTTCCATCTCATGCTCTGTTTCCCCATCTATCTATCTATCTATCTATCTATCTATCTATCTATCTATCTATCTATCTATCGCGGTCTCTCTCTCTGTCTCTCTCTTTCTCTCAATTTTTCCTTCCCTTTTCTCTTTTTCGAAGCATAACCTATTAATTAGAAATGAAAATCAACGAACAGAACATATTGGCAAAGTTATTATTTAAACTTTATAAGTAGTTCAACACTGGACGATGCTGCAAAAAGGTGAAGCATCATCATCATCATAATCAGATAGATAGATAGAAAGATAGATAGATAGATAGATAGATAAATAGATAGATAGATAGATAGATAGATAGATAGATAGATAGATAGATAGATAGATAGATCGAGAGACAGATTATATGGACAGAGAGACAAAGACAACAAATAAACAATGAGCCAGAAAATTCCCGTTACATTGTACCAACTCTCTCAGTGTTATGCAATTTGATATCGTCACTAAGCTATCGTCTCCATCGCCTCCATCTCCCCTCTTGAAACGACTTTCCGTTGCCAGTTCCCAAACATTGTTTGATTAGACACGATTTTTCACTTTCTTTCTCAAACACAACTTTCACCCGTTGAGATCATTTCACCCGTCTGGGACGAAAGTCCGAGATGTGTTGAAATATTAGATTGAATACTGATCGACTGAAGCAGCACTGTCTTATCCTTTTTTTTCTTGACTATTAGTTATATTTTGGAGACAGTATCAAAATTAAAGGAAAGTATATTTACATACAAAACACAATAGAGAGGTGACTGCCTCGTCCTGTTCACATAATCAGAACTAACAGGAGTAGCCTTCACGAGTCAGGTGGACAGGCAGCTGTACCTAAAAAGCATGTCAAAACGTTCTTTCAATTGGTATACATTTAATATATTTTGATTACATATCAGAATAATGTCAACGTCATTTTGGCCCCGAAAACTGTCACTAATAATTTAATGTTTGGTAATTTCAGGTTGAATTTTCTTTATGTATGACTTTCAGTTTGGTAAAAAAAAGAGCCAAAAGATAGATAATAGATAGATAGATAAATTAGATAGATAAATAGATAGATAGATAGATAGATAGATAGATAGATAGATAGATAGATAGATAGATAGAAAGATAGATAGATAGATAGATAGATAGATAGAGAGATAGATAGATAGATAGATAGATACATGCATACATAGAGAGATATAGATATATAGAGAGATAGACATAAATTTATATTTCTCTCTCACTCATCTAGCTCCCACTATAACTCTCCCCCCCTGTCTCTCTCTCTTTCTCTCTCTCTCACTCTCTCTCTCACACACACACACACTCACTCTCTCTCTCAATCTATCTTTCTACCTCTCTCTACCTTTCTCTCTCTCTCTCCCTCTTTCTCTCTCTCTCTCCCTCTTTCTCTCTCTCTCAGCCCCCCTCCCGCCCCTCTCTCTCTCTCTCTCTCTCTCTCTCTCTCTCTCTTTCTCTCTCTCTCTATCTCTCTCTCTCTCTCTCTCTCGCGGGTCTAGAGCACTGGTCTATTCTAGTTATTTTTCCATTGTTTTCCTAAAAGATCTTTTTATGTGTACTTCTAGAGTTTCTACGAAAATGAAGAGAATGTCTTATTTTCACCACAAAAAAAATGATGTCTCTCTACCTCAGGTTAAGCAGGACGATAATAAAATGCACATATTATTATGCTATGCAGTATTTTTTTTAACCTAGATGTCGCGTGTACTCACCCAAAACAGACACCCTAATAATGCCAAACACCACTCTCATACGTTCATGCATACCCAGCTCATAGGTCAAATTTGACTAAAGCAATGCCTTCACATTCGCATTCCTGAGAGCATGTTACATCGTTGAGATTCTGGGCAGCTACTGACGGAAGGGAGATAAAAAGAAATGTTCCGAAACAGTGTTTCATTTATATTAGCTTTGCTCATAATTTACATTTCCAGGATATTCAGCGCTTGGCCGTCTCCATGTATGTAATTGCCCTCCTTTGACTTTCCTGACATGACGAGAAAGGGATGGGAAAAAAGACAATTTTATGCGCCAGATCATGGTTCCATTTTGAAAGGTTTTTCTTTATCTTAGACATTGCGGCATAAATCTTATGAAAATTCATAACATGTTCTGTTCAA